CAAGACCTGTTGGCTTATGTGATAATTCACCTGCAAATACTATCTTTATAGCTAAGTTCAACTCCTCTAAATCTACCAGACAACTTCAATCTTTTGGTAACCTATCTCTTATATCCAATACACAATGTTAGTCTTACAATAGTATTCCTGGTACTGAATTGGAGGTGGTTCTACCTAATATCTCTACTGTAGCACAAAATACTCATCCCATGCTAACCCGATCCAAAACTGGCCATTCTAAGCCAAATCCTGAGTACATTGCCTATCAAGCTGTTGTTACAAGTCCTATTATACTTTCAGAACCCAAGACTGTCACAGAGGCTTTACTAAGTCCTGAATGGAAGCATGCTATGGACACTGAATATTAGGCTTTGTTAAGGAACAATACTCGGGAGTTTGTTCCTTATGAAGAAGGCATGAATATGGTAGGATGCAAGTGGGTTTTCAAAACCAAACTACATTTAGATGGAAACTTGCAAAAATACAAAGCAAGGTTAGTTGCTAAGGGCTTCCAACAGACCCTAAGAGTGGATTATTTTGACATATTTTCACCAGTGGTAAAGGTAGCCACAATCAGGGTTATGCTATCATTGGCAGTGATAATTGGCCCATTCAACAGTTGGACGTCAACAATGCTTTTCTGAATGGAGACCTGACAGAGAAGGTATTCATGCTACCTCCTGAAGGATACTCTAGTGGTGTAGGGAGTAAACACAACCCACCGCATGTTTGTAGGCTGAATAAAGCCTTTTATGGACTTAGATAAGCTCCTAGAGCTTGGTTTGATAAATTAAAATCTACATTGGTTGATTAGGGTTTTGAAAATTCAGTTTCAGATGTTAGTTTATTCTTCTATAAGAAGGATTCTATTCTCATGTACCTACTAGTATATGTAGATGATATTCTTGTGACAGGAAATGATACTCAGCTTATCTCAACTCTAGTTGCTGACTTGGATAAAAAATTTGCTCTAAAGGCTCTAGGGGCAGTGCAATATTTTCTGGGATTTGAAGTTAAAAGGAATGCAGATGGTTTGCTCCTAACTCAGACCAAATATGCACAAGACCTTCTCACAAAATCTAGAATGGCAGAATCCAAACCCTGCTCTACCCCTATGGCTACTGGTCTTAGACTTGGAAAAGAAGACAGTAACCTGTTTGATCAGCCTACCCTATATAGAAGCATCATTGGTGGCCTACAATACTTAACCCTTTCCAGACCAGATTTAGCTTTTACGATAAACAAGCTTAGCCAATTCCTACAACAGCCTACTGAAGCTCATTGGACATCTTGCAAAAGGATCCTAAGATATGTTAAAGGCACTCTACACCATGACATTCTTTTTACTAAAACACAGCCATTCAAATTAGAAGCTTTTGCTGATGCCGATTGGGCTGGGGATGAAACTGACAAGAGATCAACCAATGGCTACAGTGTTTTCTTAGGTGGTAATCTAGTTTAGTGGTCCTCTCGGAAACAAAAAGTAGTTGCATTGTCATCCGTAGAGGCTAAGTATAGGTCACTTAGTCAGGCTGCTACGGAGCTGGTCTGGATTCAACATTTATTCTCAGAGTTGGGAATTCATATTAGTCACACTCCAATCATTTGGTGTGACAACATGAGTGTTGGAGCACTCTCTTCCAACCCTGTTTTTCACGCTCCCACAAAGCACATAGAAATAAATGTGCATTTTGTTAGAGATTTGGTGACTAGGAAGCTGTTAAATGTTCAGTACATTGCCTCTAAATATCAAATTGCAGATCTGTTAACAAAAGCTCTCCCCAACTCTGGATTTATCATGCTGCGGGACAAGCTTACTGTAACATCTGAACTCCCTACTGATGAAAATGTTAAGTGTGCTAGTGATGATCAACATGAGTAACGGATAAATGTGTTCTAGTTCTGATTGGTGGCCATTTCCTGTGTTGAAATGTTGGTTGACTGAAATGTGATGAGTTGTTGGTCTAAAATGTGTTGAATTGTTGATTTGATTCTGCTAGAAAATGTGTTGAAATGTTCGTAGTCTGAAATGTGATGAGTTGTTGGTTTGCAATGTGTTGAGTTGGTGATTTGATTCTGCTGAAAATGTGTTGAAATGTTGGTAGGTTGAAATGTGATGAGTTGTTGGTTTGAAATGTATTGAGTTGGTGATTTGATTCTGCTAAAAATGAGTTAAAATGTTGGTAGTCTGAAATGTGATGAGTTGTTGGTCTAAAATGTGTTGAGTAGTTGGCCTGACTATGTTGGAAAATTCATGCAAATATGCAGAATAAGAAGCAAATATGCATATTAGAAGAAATTGTGATGCGTTGGTCTGAAATGTGCTGAGTAGTTGGCCTGACTGTGCTGGAAAATTCATGCAAATATGCAGAACAAGGAGCAAATGTGTAGAGTAAAAGTAGAAGTAATTGAATGGTTAAATGTTCAGATTGGTGAAAAAAATGCAGAATAAGAATAGGTGACTATTAAAGGCTACTGCAAAGTAAGGCTGAACTTGGAAGTAGAATAAGGCTAAAAAGTGTCTAGGTTACGAGGGAATGTTGGTATAAGGCAGAATGATGGTGTAAGACAGTGTTTCCAAGTACTGTATCAATATCAAGTATTTTGGTTTAAGGGAGAATATTGAGTATAAAAGTGAGTGAGAAGGGTGTTTATGTAAAAGATCAAAGCTTGGGGTCTGTTTTGTAAAATATTAACACTTGACTGTCATACGGTGACATTTTGTTCTTCTTGTACCTGCTATATAAGTGCAACGTTCTTTTGTCTGTATAGTTAGACAGTTAATAAAAAGTTTTCTGCTCTTTGAACTCTTTAGCTCTGTATTTCTTCTCTCTCAAATATTTCTCTATTTTACATTTTTTCGTTCAAGTCCGCTCTAGAATCTTCAATATGTTAGGTGTCCATCCAAATTACCCCTTTTCAAAAATCTTTTGTTTAACCTCAGATCTTGATATCATATTTCCGAAAGAATTATTATGATTCTTTTGGTATATGTTACACCAGTACCACATTGCCATTCAATTCTCGGTCCATCATATGTTGAAAATAATTTCCCAATTCCAATCATCCTCAACCTTTGAGTTACACTCTTTGATAACTTTTCTCAAATGGTTCAAAACCCTAGAAAAATAAAAGCTTGTGTTTGCTCATCAGCTTGCCCAGTACAAAGGTCCTATGTCTACCAAAATGGCATGATCTATCATGTTTTTTCCACAAACATCACTTCATCAAATCCGATGGCCTATATTTTTCACAGCATCAAGTCACATTTCATCATAATCTCGTCCATAATATGTTTGACCATCCTGTTGAGACTAGATCAATTCAAAAAAAAAAATTTGAAAAAAATCAAATAATTCCAGATGAAATATGACCATCCTTTCGTGATGATGCTCCGTGGGAACTCTTTCCTCCATACTACACTGAGAAATTACTCCAAGCCAAACAAAAATGCATACATTCCATCACTGCTCAATTCAATGCCACTTCAGATTATCCAAAATGGTGGTATCCAGACTCACAACCAGATACTATACAAGAAGAAGAGGTTCAAATCTCGTAATTACTATCTTCATAAATCCAAGCGACAATAGTACATGCATGCACCAAGTACCTCTGTAAAGCAAACATCTTAGTTTCCAGACATTTCTCTAGATACTCATCCAAATACATCTTCTCGACAAATCCCTGCTAACTGGATTCAATCAATGGGTTGTCTTGATTTCCAAGATGAGGACTCGTGGTACGTTACAAACCTGTCAGATGATTAAAGCTCTGCCTGTCTAAAAAAAAAAAAAAAAAAAAAAAGTTGTCTTTTATGTTATCTATAAAATAGTCGTGGACTAAATGACAGTTTGCAAACTCAGTGTAATATCTTCCATATGAATCGTAAAAGCCAAGTATTATAGGCAAATAAATGTAAAACAAAAAACAAAAAAAAAGTCAAAAGTCTAGTCATGTATTAAATGACTCACTAATGAGTCTTGAATGCAATGTATTAATCTTCTCTATAAATAACGGCTTTTCCTTCTCCTTAGAGGAGGAGCATTGTGAAAAAACTCTTGTATATTTCTCTTGCTCTTACATTATTCTTTTATCAAAAAATCTCTCACTTCTCTCTTGCATATTTTCTTTTAAAAGCAAATTTGGCAGCCGATGGAGAGTTATAATTTAGTGATATCTCCATGTGAAATGAAATAATCCATTTTGACAAAATCTTAGGTTCATGGTCAAAATAAGCTAATTTTATTAGATTTTTTTTTTTTTTAAATTTTATATGTTTCAATAAATACTTTTATATGGGCCTTAACGTACACGATTGAACCCACACAAACTTTCTACATTCTTCACTTATAAATATTTTTTTATTTAACAATTTTAACCTTAATTTAAATTATTAAAAATCACATAATAATTTTTAAATATATTCAAACTCTATTTTATATCATTCTTTTATTTTTTTTTTTTACTTTAATTCTTAATCATAAAACTAAGTCTAATCTAAATCATTGAAACATTTTTTTTTTTTTTTTTTTTGGTTATTTCGAATAATTCTTTGTTTGATAAAAATATATTACTAAAGTTATGGAAAAAATAGTCTCATATGAATGTGAATTTGAAGAAGAAAAATTAAGCTTCAAATTTAAAATTGAAAAAATTGGGTATAAACAAAAGACCTAATGGAGAAATTGGGTAAACCCTAATTATGTTTTGAAATTCAGAAAAAATAGTGGAAAGAAAAACCCTAACTAATTTGATGGAATCTATTTATATAATATTTTCGACATCAAATATGGTTTAAAGAAACTTTTTATAAATAACTAAAAATTACTTCCGTCATTTAATTTATCTAGTAAACAAGATTTCTTAAAATCTTTTGTTATTAAAAACTATTAAGTACCCACTTTTATAAAGAGGTTTTTCATATTTCTATTTTCTAAGAGATTTTAAAGAGGATTTTTATAACATCAAATACATTTCATTTAAACAATCTCACAAGATTCTTAAAACCATCAAGAATATCGTAATGAAAAGGAATACCGTTCATATTCTTAAAACCTTTACTAAACAAAATAAACATAAATGGGGTGATGGAATCAATTGTCTATAAAAGAATAATGGCATTATTTTTCCAAATATAAACATCAAAACAAAACTAAACCTACCTTCTTTTCTTTTTCAGTAATTGTGCCCCCTCACAGAAAAAACTCAGAAGAGAAACCCCATCTTCTATTACTATTTATCCTCAACACCAAAACAAAACCTATTCCTATCCCCTCTTCTGCAAACCTTTGTACCTCTTTAAAAGAAATCGAAGAACCAAGAAAACAAACCACAATTTTCTTTCTTTCAATTCATAAAACCTCTCAGTGAGTCAAAGCACCGCCACTGCATCTATCCTGCGGGTTAAATGGCATGGTTGGCCAATATTCCGTGGAGAAGCTTCGAGGACGGTCTCAATTTCATGTACTGAAACCAAACAACAAAAAGAACTCAAAGTTACACAACCAGCTTGCTTTTACAAGATGTACAAGACAATAGAGACAATCACCCACCAAGGAGCACAAGTTGATAAAAAGAAGAAGAGGTATTACCTCCTTAACAAAAGTGCTTATCTCCTCCTCGGTGAGGCCTTCATCTTCACCAGCATTTTCCTCCCAACCAAGTGATCGCAAAAAGGCAGCCTCTTCCTCATCAGGATCAAGGACCATATCAGGGCTCAAATGTTTCTCTCCATTGCCAAGACGTACCTGAGATCCATCATAAGCATCACCATTTTGGGTTATTCCACCACTATTGTTGGTTGACAATGGGGAAGAATCCGCCGAAACCTGAAGAGGAACAGATTCACCAGCATCTTCTGTAACAATTTCACCAGATTTTTCTGACACGGATGAAGAATCTGGGACAGTAGAAGTTGAGTTTGTAGAAGATTTCTTCTTCAAGAGGTTGAAAAAATCATTCCTGCTCTGAGCTTGAGATGTTGGTCTCTTCTCAATGGTTGCACGGAGAGGACCAGAACTGCGTTCGGCACCCTTTTTTGGGCTGTTGCCTGAGCTCCTAAAGGGAACAGAACCAGAAGGCGATGAAGTGCCATGTGGACTAATCACTACTTTGCTTATGTTAGTGGGACTTAAACTATCCTTTGTGGTTGAAGAGACACTGTTCACTTCACGAGATGGTTTCAGGACACAAAGCCTGGCCTCGTTAAATGTTTTAGGACTATCACATCTTACAGGCCCCCCACGAATGTTATTGACAGTGTGCAATGGATGCTGCTGCTGCGGCACAACCTTGGCTTTTGATTTCTCAGAAGGGCTGACCACCTAAGGAGAAATTAAACAATAAGCCAACTAGCCAAGTGAAGTGTCTAATACACACAAATGATCAAAAATTAAAAGTTAATAAAACTCACTAAATAAGAATACATATCTACAATCATTTATTTTGCTCTGTAGCCAAATCTAATTAATACTATCAAACTGCATAAAACAAGTGCTTCAACTAAAAAAAGGGAAAATGACTAAACACTTATACTATTTCAAAATTAGACATTCAGGTAATATTTAATAGAAGAACGTAATTTATGGTGATCACTATTATCTGGTGAAAAATTTCCGGGAACATAATTTTAAAATTTGATATGGAAAGCTACTCTCAGTCTTCTTCAGAGCACCTTCAACCTTACTCATAGAGCTCCGAACCCATTATGTTATAGATTTAGCTACCTCACAATGAAGAAATAGGTGAATAGACGTTTCTTCATCATCTAACATGGAAGAAGATCTTCTATCTGATAAGGACAAATAGAAGCCAATCATAAACTTCCATGTGACCTTTCTTCTTCTTCTTCTTCTTCTTCTTCTTCTTCTTCACTTTTTTATTAAATTAAAAGGGCAGTAGAGGATGCAATTCAACACCAGCAATATTTAAGAGAGATTCTACAAGACTAAAATTAAACAAATGTAGAGAATCTAAGAAATCACAACCTTAAGATCACCCATCTTATATTTTCCCTTCAAAAAACTGCCTAGTCCACTTAACAAAAATGGCATAAAAAGGAGCACTTTTACAGGCTAGCTGTCTAGATTATCCACGAGTCTGCAACTCTGAGTAACATTCTTGGCAGAACCAAAATCCTGACCTATCTCTCTCCAAGGAAGAGTCTTCAAACTCTGATTCCATAAATTAAAAAGAAATAAGTAATGTTCTAACACTCAAGTTTTACTAGATTCTCATTATAACCTTTGATTTTCCACCTGTATTAGCTAATGTAGTTCATCTATGAACAAGTACATTGTCAAGAAATTGACAAACAGCATATACTTTTACTACATCATAGTCTAAACAAAAATTTGTAATATCATACAACTTCAAGTTCATGAAAAGTACTATCCTACTTCATCAGTTAACAAGGATAAATGGTTTTGCAAATTAATTCAAGGACACACCACAGTATAACACTGCCCTATGGATACACATGAAATATTTGTATATTTAATAAATATAGGAGTCATTCATTACTAAAGTTTCTGTAGTAAAAATAGACAAACCACTGCCTCCCCAACACTGATCAACAAATCATGCATTTAAAGATAGATAATTACCTTCACTACTACCTTTTTTATCACAGGCCTTATTTCAGATAGCACCATCTCCTCCGACTCTATGACCAAGAATGATTTCAAAATTGTTTAAGATCTAAATATTTAATTTAACAAGTCAAGGGTTCGTATATAGGCATGAGGCACAAGATAGAAAATAAACACATGGAGCATAATATTTTCTCCCATCTTACACAGAAAAGAGGCAATAAAATACACAATAATTTATGTAGCACCGGCACTTAAACCATAAAAAATAATAGTTTCTTATTAAACCAAATTCATAGCTACCGTTTCCAATAAAAACAAGCAATAATAAACTTATCGAATAAAAAAAAGAAGTGATATATATTTTCAAAATCAGGAAAAACACTACGAAATGTTGTCAAAGCAAACTATTTCCCAATGGAAATTTCTAAGTAAAACCTAAAACACATGAAAGCCAACTAACAGACATATCCATCATAAAAATGAGAAGAGATTCTTCCATGATGAAACAAAAAATAAACACCCACAAATATGTGCTGTGATCCAGCTGCCGGTATCAAGTTGTAAAGTTGTGAAGAGATTTAAAACACTTTTCTCATCAATCTCTTCACAGGTTTACAAATTCTTGTAGCAACTGGATCCACAGGGTAAGAAGCGGCTACTGTGCTATGCCAAGAAGAGACGCACCCACCATGATGTGAGAGTGAGGGGGGGGGAAGGGACCACCCGCTTAATCAACTCTCACAGGTTGTCAACCACATACATGCTTGAGCAATGGGTGGCAGCCGCACCATGCCTAGCCAGTTTGAAGTTTACTTTTATATTTAGGAATCAAAATGTTTATAAGACACTTCAAAATGTACTCTTAACACCAGGATAAACCATCAGTTACCAGGAAAGATGAAGCTACAATTAGCAAGAAGCTAATTGTCTTATTCCAAGACCAGCAATTGGACAACAACTTAGTGTTCCAAAATAGCTAATGGAAACTGGAGTTTAATGAAACGTTATTTAAAATAAATCATGCACTTCTTCTACATGATATGAAATTGTTTTGATATTGAAACAACTTATAATAAGAATTCCCAATTGCTATTGACTGATTAAACCATAATCTTTAGATCGAGACACAATGTAACTTGCACTGAATCATACAAATATAGAGCGAAGTAATGGCAATAGGTGTTTTATTATTTAAACCTATAGACTAACAACATATACAAGTGGAATACCACAAGCTATTCATATTAGTGCTTTCCTTGATAAACTTGGTGCGCACAACTTTGTTATCCAAAAGGATCACGGGTGAAGGACACTATATTGCTGAACAATAGGCAGGGGTTTCCAAGCAAGATATAACATTTACTGCCACGGAATTTAGAGCACATGAGTGATCCCACATCCCTATTTAATATCCACAACTGTCATGTTTAATGCACTATAAAATGATGATGAGACAATGAGAGTAAAAAAATAATGAGAACCATACAGACTGAAATGGTCAGTAAATCACCATTGTGCATTCACACTATCGGAAAAAGAGCATTAACAAATTCAGGATCAAGATTCGTCTACGCCCTAACTCATCTATTTAAGGCTACAATAGGAAATAAGAGGTAAGGCAACTGTCAGCAATATTTCCTAGAATAAATTTCCACGATTCGAATATGATTAAAGTATTCCACTAAAATCCACCAAGAAGACCACCAAAAGTGCAATGGAAATCTTCAACAATTTACAAGCACAGTGGGACTACATATATTACCTAAACCGTGCATTTATAATATAAAAGACACTCACTCTTCCAAGTTTTAGGCTGTGATGGAGTCTGGGAATGTTGCCTTGATTGCTTAAACCAACTCTCAAGCCTCTGAGTTCCACAGACAAACTAAGAAACAGCATGACAACAGTTAGCATGAATATATATTCTACAAAATGCCTAAACATGCGAAAGATATTAAAGTACTGGGGAAGCGTTTGAGCTCGAGGACCTGAACCAATGTTTCAGCCATATTGAGCCCCGTTGAAGGGCTGGAGACACAGAAACATAGGGTTACCAGAAAACATTTTGCTGCATAGATTAGTACTCCTGCTTCCTATAATCACTGGTACCTCTGCTAGTGCAGAAGTCCGACCATCCCTCCAATAGTTCTGTGCTGTCTGAATGGCAGTACTCAATCCAGAGATGAGACTCTCCATTTCTGAGTCCACCTCTTTCTTCAACTCCAAGTGGGGGAAATCCCGTTCAAATGCAGTTTTGTCTACATTGCTGATAACACTACTGCGGTTTAAAAACCTTTGGCATTGTTGAACTGCTCTCCTATTTATGTTCAAGTCCCTGCGACCTTCCTTTGCCACATATCACCTGTTTTTCCAGGAACATAGACTGCGAATGTTGTAATTTTCTTTCTCAACCTCTGGTAGATGCTACCCATGCGTCAGGAAGTTCACTAGCACTGTCGATTCCCCAAACCTGATTAATCTGTACTCACAAGATTGTAATGTCCTTTCCCCAATCCCTATCATGTGTAATTCTACCAAAATTACTATATGATCGCAGGTGACTAGAACCGTTACTACTAGTACTCCCAGCCCGAAATAGAAGTAGACCTATCAGACACCACTGTGGGGCCTTATTGTAATCACTGCTCAGAGATGACGCTATTCCGTTGCATGTTTCGACCACAAATGATCATCTATAATAAAGAAACATCGTTAGTATATTTATCTGAATGTTCAATCAGAAGCTCAAATATATTCAATTTGATAGCTAAAATTTTATGTGAAATGGAATGGAAAAATTAAATTTAAATTTTGTTTTCACTTCGAGAACATCACTACCAGAAACATAACAGAGAAATCCAGACTGTATCTCAGAGGAAGTTTCTCCACAAGAATAAAATTTAAAAGCGTGTTATTGATTAAAAACCAAAAAAAAAAAAAAAATTCCAAGAATAGAGCTAAATCTACCACAAAAACGAAAAAAAACTGGCTTTAACAGTTTCTGATAAGTTTTTGAATGTCCTTAACTCTATTTGTAGAAATTTTGCAAGAAAGTCAATACTCTGCACATTTTGAGAAATTTCAATTGTAACATATGGACATTAAAACAATAAAAGGAGAATTTTATTCCTCTCACGTGGCACGTGGTAAATTAAGCATCTACATAATGACACTCGCAGAATTCGAGATACTTGTTTAATAAACATCAATAAAACCCTTAAGGCTGGCAAAAGCCTTAACAAGACACCTGTAAACCATAAAACATCAAATAGAGGTTCGAATTTTCATCCATCATTTCCATCCCAAACTTCAACTGCAACCAAACATTAGGTAAACAATCCTATAGCCTATATGTCAAGTAAACAAGTTTACCTGAATACGAATTCTGTGACGCAAAATGGTGGCTTGCACTGCCACCACCAGTGACACTTCCGCTGTTTTTCAACCATTCTGGCACTAACGCAGGCTCACTTCTTTCCATCACGATTACTAAACATGATCACATAGAAGAAAACAAAAACAAATTCTTCTTCCACGTAAGTTCCTATATTCCCTCAAAAAGCAATCACTAAACAGCGACTTTCAGTTTCTTCAAAAACCCACCAAATTTCACCTTCAACACACTCTCCCTTTCTTAAAATCCCACTCACATCCACCCGCGAAATACAAAAACTATTTGGGTCAATCAAAAATTTTCAAACCAAAAATTTTCCAAAATGTTATGTACACTGAAAAAAATTAGGGTTTTATATGTTCTCTCCGTACAACTTTCACTTCTTAACACAACAAATTCTTGAGCCAACAACAACTTCAATCAATCAATCAACCAACCAACCAGCCATTTAGCCAATCAATACACAAAAACTAGAAAATTCCTCTGAGTCATGTCAACAAAAAGAACTTGAATTCAAAAGGGCTTCTCCGAAAAGCAATTTCGTTTAAAAAAAAAAACAAATGAATTCTGTTAGAAATGCTAATTCTAGGGTTCTTCAGCAAACAATGAAGACCCTCATCCCTGCTAAACCAAACTAATATAGTCTCAGAACACTCTTACCCTTACCCTTTCAATAATGAAGAACAAAACAATGCAATGCTACAACAACAACACAAACCCATTCTGCTAAACAACCAAACAACTCTAACCCATATCACTGAAACAAGACTCCCCAAAAAATATAATTCTTCACAGAGAATATTTGGATGATAATTTCAAGCAATTGCGGAAACTAACCCTCAACTTTTGGATTAGAACCAACCCAAACCCAATAAAAGAGATGAAAGGCAATCGTACGCCTGTCAACGCCGGGTGTTTCAAGTACTATGAACTGTAATTCAGCGAATAAAAATGAGCAAAAATTAAAAATGAATAGAAAAATAGAGAAAACAGTGTGTGTATAGAATTTAAAAAGAAGAAAAATAAACTGTGTTGAGGACAAAATTACTGAGATAGCGGCAATAAGACGAAGATGAATAAACGAGATAGAAGGGAGTTTTATGGAAGAGAGGAGAAAGTGTTTTGGTTTTGATTTTGTGTTTGGTTTTTCTTGTTTTCTTGGAGAAATAAGTGGGTTTGTTTTACAAATTTCAATCCAGTTTCTTTCTCTCTTTCCTTGTTGATTTTATTTGTGTTGTCTTCGAAAATCCCTAGCATGCGTATATGCGTANCTATATAAGTGCAGCATTCTTTTATCTGAACAGTTAGTCAATTAATAAATAGTTTTCTGGTTTCTTAATTCTTTAGCTCTGTATTTCGTTTCTCTTAAATACTTTTCTGTTTTATATTTTTCATTCAAGTCCGTCTTAGAATCTTCAGGATGCAACATTGCTATTATGAAAGGAAAAGATTTTGCAACCTTGATGCCACCAAAATTTCCCCTAATAACAACTTTAAGTTACCCTCCTTATTATTACGAAAGAATTAATAAAGGAGTTGCCACCAATGATCGGCCTGGAAGCCATGGCAAAAATCCTGAGTAGGAACCAAATTCATCAGCAAAACAGCCAGCGGCAATGCTGCAAACTTCTCATTGGTATCCTCTATCTTGGAGAAGTGGTTTCTGCCGAGCTTTTTCTTTGAGGGAAGTTGAAGAGATAACTGATGGTTTTGCGGAAGAAAACTTGCTTCAGAAATCGGAAAACCTGAACATTATGAGGGAAATTTCCAGGAAATGCCTGTGATGATCAAATCTTTCCAGGAAGACGACGACTGATTCTGGACAGTGTTGATGATCCTTTCCAGGGTTCGCCACCGCAACATTATGAACCTTGTGGACTATTGCTGCACTGGCTGTAGCCGGTTCATAATCAGTGATTTTCCATGCTTGGGTACTCTCGCCAGTAACTTGAACGGTAAGTATCTTGTTTTGCTATTCTTGAAATTATATGTAATTTTTGTGTCTTTACTTTGTTATTCCCAAATATTCTACATGTTGTTTTGGCCTTGGAATCTAATTTTTTTTTTCCAATTCTTGCCTGTCAAGCATAATTTAACATGATATTAAAGTAAAAAAAATATTAAATTTGAATTAAAAATAAATTCACGTTTCACATGTGAGAGTTTGTTAGACTTAAATATTAATATTGAATTCTTATCGAATCTATTAAGTTTTAGGTTAAGTTAACACTTAACATAAATGTCTCATTTAAAATTAAATTTTCACTTAAAATATTGTTGATACAGAAATCTGCACCAACTAGAGTGATCCGATAGACCTTAGCAGGATTGGAATTGGTGTGTGCGTGATTACAGATAACCAGTAGTGAATGAATAATGAATGCAATAAAGTAAAGGGCAAAGAGGTTTTTAAAGTGGTTCGGCGAGATGAACTCTTGAGCCTGCGTCCACTATTTTTATGTATTTGTTGTGAGAGCTTACAATAATAATTCTAGAAATATTTTCCAACACCTTCCTCATCGTTTAAGGGGATTTACATACAGAGTTTGTACAAAGGAAAAAGTGAAAATAAAGGAATTACAATTAAACTGAAATGCAACTCCGATATTCTCACGATTGGGCGTTGTGATTACGCAAAGATTGCTATCGATTTGATCCTTCCCGAGATATCCAGGATCTGAAGTTATCTGGGAATTAGTTGAACGACCGCAAGGATTGGTCGTGACTAGCTTGTGTTAGATCGAGCTATATCTTGACAAGCTTTTGCTAGGTCGGACAATCGGTGGAGTCAAGGTAGTTCTGGATCGGGCTATAACCTTGCAATGCTCTGAGCTTGATGGAAAAATCACACACAAGATCTACCCCTAGCGTTCGATGCTCGTTCCAAGCTTCGAAGACTATTGCTCGATTTGGTATAAAGCTTGGCATCATCAGTAGGGCATCGGATGTAGAGTCGGTCGAGCTTTAAGGGTCAGACTCATGCCCGGTCGATGTACTCCACACTTGGATCTTCTCTCTTCTGCAACACTCTTGACAAACTCAGAATATGAATAGTAAGGACAATTATGTAAATTCCACATAGTGATGTCGCATTAAATGCGACAGCCTTTGGCAGTTACTTTTCGTTGCGCGTAGGCAACTACAATTGTCTACGTGTAGAGTTGAGGCGACGTGCGGTGATAGTTATGATCACAATAGTCTAACAGTTCATCACCCCTCGCGGATGACTGACATGTGGCCATATCCAAGGGTCAAATTTCTTGACGAATGAAGGGTCTAGATTCACTATAGATCAACGGCTATGATCAAACCCCGCCTTTTTGTCTCCCATGCAAACCACTATAAAAGCGAGCGAACTCATCAAAAACTTTCTCATCTTACGAAAATTCTTAGACATCTTTGCTTATTCTGTCACTGATTCATCATCGTTACGGTGCTCTTTCCGGCGAGTTCTTCCCATTCTCTTGTTTCGGTAAAGTTTCTTTTCCCTCTCTTTAATTGTTTTCTTGATTTTCACGACTAAGGGTGGCCATTGTCGTGGCCACATTGAGTCTTTTAGGGCTTTACTAGGGTTTTTAAGTGTGTCTCCGACAGCCCTGGGTTTAAAGAGGGTTTATCGTGAAATCCTAGGTAGGTCACATGCATTCGTTGTCTGGCGCGAGCTATCTCGAGTGCTTGAACTGAAAGCAAAGTGTGGATAGGTCGCTGATTTTTTTGAGCTCTAACACATGTTCTCTTCTATTTCAGGTACCCAGAAGTGAGCTATAGTTATGTCTTAGTCTAGCAGCCACACGATTAATCA